ACTAATGATTTTCATGGGCCTTAAATTGAAAATTCTACATACGATAGATTATATCGGCGTTTATTTGTGAGGCGATTTTTGAGTTATTCATAAGTATCTTGATTACTGAGCTAGCTCGAAAAAATTAACTCTCGACACCACCTGCCGATCTCAAGTCTTTTTTAAACTGGAAACTAATTTGAAAAAAGGTAAAACTTGATTATTCTGCTCAGTTGAGTACCACGATTGTCGATAGAAAATATAGCTTTTTTCCTATTAATCTCATCATCTCAATTGCAACCTTCACCTGTTCTTCTAACCGCAAAATTCAGTATTGCTAATTTTCCCCATGTATCTTAAGTGTGTAGCGGAGGAAAATGACCCTAGACAAATAAAATAGATAATCTGGAATGAAAAACAAAAATCCCCCGACACATAGATAATCTGAACTGATGGTTTAACAGAAGAATTTCGCTTGTCATACCCAAGAACACAATTTCTTCAATTTCCGTTCTAATCTTTTTAATTTAAGGATCCATAGTTTCTAGAGGACTGACTTGTTTAATTGAGATGTTTTGGCAATAATTTTCCCACCTGCTGAAAGCAACAAAATATTACCATAAACAATAGTTAATCCGGCTTTCACACCATCACTGCCCGCCGCAGCTGGTGAAGGAATAACATAAGCAAGAAATAAAATACGACATCCTGGCCCTACTCAGACCCAAGTTCGATATTTTTTTAAATTCAGACTTAATTGCGAGTCTTTAGTCGTATGGTACTTTATGTATATGGTACAAACACGTGGATCTCCAATGCAAATACATATAGTTAGTAAAACTAAAAAAATGTACAGTGTATACAACGTTCCTACCTTTCGACAATAATAAGAACATTTTGGTAGAAACTCTATTCAGTTTACTACTTAACAACAATAAATTTATTCTGGAGAGCCTGGATACTGTGCTAAAATTTTGATATCTCAAACATGGTTGTAAATGGAATAGACCCATTTCTCAAGGTTGCGTGCGCATCCAAATTTATGGAACTTGACGTCAACGAAACCAGAACATGAGTATTATCAGGCATTGCTAAGAATATTTTTCGATAAGAGTTCATAAAGCTGACTTTCTCCTCTTTAAATGTAAAACTGTCTTCTCAATTTTACTGAATTTGCGTTTTTCAGTTTTGTGGCCCTTCAAGTTGGATGCGCACGCAACCTTGAGAAAACGGTGTATTCTTTCCAACACGCTTTTCAATGTGTTATTGAGCCATAAAAATTGTAAAATCAGCTTTATTAAGAGCTTTTTATTTACTATTGATATTGCTTTAGTTTCAACGAGACTTAAATGTTTTTTAGCTTAAACTTTCTTCTATGTCATGTGTTATAATAATAATAATAATAATGATAAAAATTAAATCTTTAAATACATTTAAATTTTGAATTTAAATTTAATACATGATATTTAATATATAATACTGTATGTCTATTCATTTAGTCGTTTGCCGAAGAAAAAAATGTATATATAAATAAAGTTTAAATCCCCAACAGTTTTCTTGCCTGTGTGTATGAGTCATTAATTCGTCTGTATAAGATCGAGTTTACGTCGTACGGCGGCATCTCTGCTTAAATTAACATGAAATGGCTATTCTACATGAAAGACCCTTTTTGCATTGTTGATCGTGTACTATGCATTCTGGCCTTTAATGAACAAATTCTTTTGGGACTTAGAAAGAAAAAAATATTTTCGTATACGCTCGTCAACTTCAAGCATGATACACTTAAGATTAAAAAGACGGATACTCACCTTTCAAATGCGGTCGTCGACTTGAGTGTTTAAAAATTCTAGCTTCACTTCCAGCTGAAACTACCGCCACAATTTAGCAACCTAGCTATGATTAAATCCCATAAGATAAGTCAGGGATAAGCCTTGAGATTTTAAATCGAAGTTACAGTGTATAAGGCGGAATAGAGCGAGGAAAAATGATGATGCATTCCTTACAGTAGCTGTACGTGATAAGATCGTGATGCTTTAGAGCAATAAAAGAGTGAAATGATACATTTTCTCAGACCAACTGCCGCCCATGTCATCGCTTCATCGAGAGATGCTTTATATATCATACTTCAACGATCTAATTTAGCCCTTGAATTGCCCTTCGCAATTAACTCTAATCATTGGTAAACTAAAAATATTCTTTTGACGTAAAGAGGTTTAATTAGTGTATTCTATTCCCACTTTAGTTCAGTGCCGGCAATATTTTGTCATTTTCATTTTCTTGTTGTTCTTTTTCCTCTATTTGTTTTTTAAATCATCGAATAACCTCGACAAGTTTTAACAGATTAGAAAGAACAGTTTGAGAAATGTTAATGACATAGGTTGAATCTTAATTGACCTACGAACCGACCGGCATGAATGATTTATACAGCGCTTAGTGGCGGAACGTAGGGTTTTAGGATAACGAAACGGTAACGTAATAAAAATACTAACTTAATTCTAGTGTGTTTTATATAATTGCTTATTAAAGCCGTGGTTAGACCGGCTTGTTACACCATAGTTAACTATGGTTACACACGCTAATTGCAATCGCTGGTTTCGATGCTCTTCTAGATCGATACATTTGTTTGCTGTATTTATCCTTTTCTAACTTTGTTCGTGTAAATAAAAAATCATATTGGTGTAACTTGAAAATAAGTAAATATACAGGCAAAAATTTGGCATTTTTAACGAAAATTCCGTGGCGTATTTTCTCTTATTAATTTGAACGTTGTATATTCTTTGGCTCACAATCTTATTGGGGTAATGAGCGGTTTTAATCATCTAAAAATCAGCCTGGGCGGGGACAAACCCGGTTCGTATATGCAAGTGCCGCGATAACAGTTTGCAACCCCCCCCCCCTCCCCTCCCCGTGTGCGATAAAGAAAGTTCAAAATCTAGGCATAACTAAATCCGTGCAAAAATTGCCTCTTTTTTTCAACAAGCCTCATAACCATACTTTCCAATTAAAACAATTTCTGGATACGCCTATGAGAATATCACCGAATTAATTGCCTATGGCGACCAATTTGAATAACTATTGTTCTGCACTGACTAGTGACTGACTAGCCTCTTCAATATAATAGAAACGTTTTCACGTGTATGAGAGGCTATAGTCAGTCGTAAGTCAGTGCAATACAATTGTTATTCAAATTGTTCGCCACATACATTTCGATTCGGTGTATGTAATATAGGTTCTCAGGTTCTCGAGGTTACTGCCGTTTTACATGATTCAAACCTGAGTGCAACAATTAAGGATTTTCTAAAAAGATTCATAAATAATGCAGAATGTTTAAAACGTTTTCTTTTTCTTTTCCTTTTTTTTTTTTTTTTTTTTATAAATCAATAATAAATACTGGAATTAATGAGCAAAAAGTATTCCGCTCCCACCTCGATAATTCTTAGAGTTTTTTTTGGTAACCGCATGTCATTGCCGTCTGTATAGCATTTCACGGTTTGTGCGCAGTGTCGTCTGCGACGGTGGAACGATCTAGTGTGCTGCAGTATCCCAGCATCCTGATTGGATGATATTGGTTGCGCACGGTGATTGGTTCAACGGTTGTTCCTTCCCTGCGCGAGTACTTCATGTTACAGTGCAGTGCAGTGCAGAGCTTGAATTTATTCTGCACACATATTCACAAGCTAAGTTTACATTATGAATTACAGAAAATAACTCTTAAATAAAAGGAGAAAAGAAGACAGATAGCTATATAGCGAGATTACAATTAAGTCAGTGCGCAGTTTCGCATCCCACATGGAAAAGATCGAGTATGCGTTCAAAGCCATCAGCGTCACAATCAAAAGTTTGAGTTTGCTAATTATAGCAATGGGTTAATCATCTACGGTCTAGGGGCCGACTAGCCTCTCCCTTAGGCTTCGGTCGAACTTCCTGATCAGTCTGTAATTCTTCGGATAGCTTTGTCGGGGCCGAAATCTCCGGCGTAGTCGTAAATGCTTCGCGCTGCCATACGACGGTTCAGCACTCGATGTCTGGAAGTGTGGTCCTGTTTTAATAAATGAAAAAGTAAAAATCCTAAAATCATGTTCTCATAGACGATTAATTTTGAAATAGAGCAATTCAAGTGTTGATTCTTTTGTCCAGCAAACTTAAAATGAGCCGGCGGCTGGAAGACTCTAGGAGCACAAGGAACTGACACCTCATCAGAAATGCGAGTTTGGGATGGATCCTGGTTTGCAGTTGTCGAGGCGAGGCTCATCGCTCTTCACTCCTTGTCATCGCCGACTGCGTGCCGTCAACATCACGCTGCTCAACATGCATGTACCAGTCTTCGCTCTATTTGCTGGCAATTGAACTACTTGCAACTACTCCGACGAAGGACTAGCGTCCGAAACGTCAGTAAGCTTTTTCATATTTTCACGGTGTAAAATTTACCCTTTTGTCATTACTGTTGCAATAATAATGCTTTGATTGAATAGTCGTTACTTAACCTCAGCCGGAACTGTCATATCACAGAAAAGGACTGATAGAAGCCAACTGCGTGTGAATAAACCCAAACTCAACCTAACCGACAACCCTCCCAATTTCCAGTTTTTAGCGATTTATTTTACAACTCATTGCCGATCAAGGAAATGTAGATCAATCTGACCAGAAGCAACAGCATTAAATCTCAATCGATTCTCGGTTTTATTTCCATTAAATCTATCCGGCATATCGAGCAAGAGAGAAGTAAAGCTTAAAATGACGTCATTCTCATGCCACTCCCATTTAAAGAATTTCACCAAAAAAGCTGATAATCGCGTTAGGGACATAGCTCTTTACATATAAAACCCGCAGGCCTAGCTCAGAACGAGAGGTAGCGAAAGGAATCGTTGAATGATAAAAAAGAGAGGAAAAAAGAGAGCAAAAAGAAAAAAAAGTGTTTTAAAGGAGTATTGTTTAAATGACGTCACTTCCTGCCGCAATACTTCCTGTTAGGCCGCTAAGCATGATAGTCATAACCATTGCGCATGACAGGTTGTTTCTTTGCTGATCAAAAACATCACAGGCCTCAGTGAGGCAAATCAAATATTTTGCAATGGAAGTTGGTCAAAAAATACCGCTTTAAGAAGAAGAAAAAATACTGAATTGTCCAAAAAAGTGGGGTTTGATGTAGAAGGAGATGACATCGAGGCCGAAGTTACGAGCTTTGACCGATATCTGTGCTGACTGTAGCGCCCCAGGTGAGAAAACCAAGTCTAATCCTCGAACTGTCTTGTCACTGGAAAACACGGATGTTCAACTTACTACATTTCTACTGTGCTTCCTCGTCGCTTATTCAAAAATATTTTCGTGATACTGAGAGCCTATTGTTATTTGGTTTTTAGGACCAGAATGGGCATCTCTGAATCGCTGTGTGTTGATTTGCGATGAGTGTTGTAGCGTACACAGAAGTCTTGGACGACATGTTTCACAAGTCAAACACCTTCGACACTCAGTATGGCATCCGAATCTTCTTACGGTAAGATAAAAAATATCACTCACAAGGCTTTGTCTAAATAAGCTGACGAGCAACAGAGGTAGTTCTTTGTAACTGGAATGGCGACGGCGTAGGAGGAAGTGTGTGATTACATTTGGAGTTGTCGTCGAGCATAAGCTTATGCCAATATTTTAATATAAAACAATGTGAAAACTTCTAAAGATATGAGGTCAAGGGTGAAGGTTTGATTCGATGAATTTTCTAGACCAATTTATAAATTTTAAGCTTATAGTTTTCTCTTAAAGCACAATTATTCGCACAATTATTCGCCCCCTCGTTTTTAAAGTCATGCTTAATGAATTATAGAAAGCGTTTGTTGTTATCAAATGTAACAGCATGCGTGATTCACTCTCATCAACTCAGTTAATTAATATTTGTTTTATTTTTGTTTAGCGAAATTCTTGTCCTAGTTCTTTGTTTATTTAGTTATGGAATGTACTATGTTGAATGGACGGCGTCCATCTATCACGGAAATCATCTTCACTGCCCATTTTGGGTTTTCTATGTTCGCTTCAATAAATACATTCAGCTGAAACGGAACTTTTGACGAAAACAGTTTCGAATCATAACTGCGATTCAAGTTCTTCTGTAAAAATATCACTTAATGCTGTACTTAAATGTTATTAACCTATATCTAAAACGTTAGGTCATAGGAGAAAATATGTAGCTTAATGTGGGATTAAAACTAATGACAATAAGAATTAATTTTGTCACTTTAATTGGAATTTGCTTTATAAGGTTTTCCTTGTTCTAGTGGATTATTACTGTCTAGATAAATTAATAGATGACACACGGCTTACTGCCTCATCATCTGGATAACGAATAGAATTCATCAAAAAGAAGCAACTTCAGAATACCCAGCCATGCACTTTTTTTAGTATGAAGCAAATCTTTTAAAAAAGATATAACAATAGAATAATAATAGGGGATTAATGTGTGCATATCATTAGGCCAGGTATTCTGAAGTTGTGCCCCCTGCTCAAAAAATATCTGCAAATGGTTATACCTTTGCTACGGCTCTGATAACCACCTAAAAATGTGGTTTCATCTCAGAGACGTTACAGTTGGTTTCACAAAACTTCGGACGCTTTAATTCTGAAGTTAGTTCCCAAGTTCTCCAAGTTGGTCCTGAACTTGGAAATTTTTGTGAAATTGGTTCAATCAACCGTGACTTGTTTATGTCTAGAATTCAAATATTTACCGGAATTGCTTCTTTAAACCATATACTTTATGAAAATTGTATTCTAGACAATGTACAGAGTCAAATTCCTTTTGTTGCAATAAAATGCACTTCGATTATTGATTTTGAACAGTAGATTTAATGAGTTTTAGAAGCTACTGTATTATCAGTTTGAAAGATTGCCGACAACCGTCGGAACCTCATAGTGAAATTGATTACAAAGTTGTGAACTTGCAAACGAACTTCAGACACAGAGTGGCCAAGGTTTTATGAAATCAACTGTAAACATGGAGGGCCACAAATTTATCAGTGCTTAGTTGGCTACGGTCACGTGTCACCCTCCCTAAACGAGGACATTATATACTTTGTTTCAAAATGACTCCAAATATATAAATATTTTCTTTTCAGATGGTAATTCAGTTGGTTAATAATGGAGCTAATTCTATCTGGGAACATAACTATACTGCGCCTTCTATAGAACATGGACAAAGCAGAGGAGGGATCAGAAAACCAAATCCTAAAGATATCGTACAGTAAGATGCCTTAGAAATCCTACATTTGACTTTTTAAAAATCATTAAAAGGAAACAGGGTTGATGTGCACTGCTAAATTTCTCCTCTTGTCACTGAAGTTGTGGGTTTAAATTATGGTACTCCTGAGGGGGAGGGGTAGGGGGTGCTTATCCCATTTCCCACCTGTTTTTGTTACAAATCCCACTTCCCAGTATCTAAATATCAAACTTTTTTCTCTAAGAACATTTTTCCATTAAATGTTGTTTTGTGCAAGAAATGGGGACACAGATTCGTTAGCCACTGGTATAAACCAGGCTCGCAAAACACAGTCTGTCTCTTCATTTTTATTGCTTGCTTCAACTAAAGTTTTTTTCCCACTGATTGAATTACAGCCCAACAAAATATAACTTTATCAAGGCCAAATACCAAGCTCTTCAGTTCGTTCATCGGCTTGCAAGTAAAGATGATGATGCTGCTACTATAGATTATACTCTTGTAAGTTACAAAAAAAAATCTTTACTGCATTTTTTGATATTCTACAAACTCAGACATTTCAAGGGCTTATTATTAAATTGGTTTTTACTGCCGCCAGTCAAGAACATAAAAGGTACCAACTGAATATTTTTGATTGATGGCAGTGAAAAACCAAATTTCAGGGTGCAGCTCATAACTAAGGAGTTTGCAGAATAGAGGCTTTGCACCATCACATGATGGCAGCCATGACAAGAGGCACAACAATAGAATCTTTTCCCACTGGAAGACTGAATTCTTTCTCATGTAAATCACATGAGACCAGGTTCCATTGTTCCTGCCTCCTGTCATGGCTGCCACCACGTGATGGTGCAAAGCCTCTATTGGTGCAGAATAAACCACATTAATAATACCCATTATTCACATAAAGTTCGTCTGTATCAGAAACTATCTATTGTTTTCATTTCAGCAACTTCATTCTTGTGTTCGAACATCAAACCTGGAGACAAGTCTTCGACTTTTATCAAATGGAGCACAGCCAAACTACATACACCCTGTAAGTACTTTTTTTTATTTATATTCAAGTCCAGGCATTACCCTTGGAAATATTGGAGAAAATATCGATAGTTTCATTGAGGTCCACTGTATTTATTTGAATTTTATTAGTTAATAGTAAGTTGTTATTTCAAATTTTTCAATTTAAATGAATGTACATGTAAACTGTATTATTAATATATTATTATATATATATACTAATTTTTTTATTTATCTTAAAATACTTTAGTAAATAATAATTATTGCTTGTCAATAAAATTTTATAAAAAAAAAACTTATCTTAAAATACTAAGACCTCATCCACACTATGCCAGATAAATTTGAATCCAAATTTTTATTTATTCGGTTAGGCCTACCGTCTACACTAGTCCGGGCGAATCCTGAACAATTCTTCACTGAAAACAATTTTTTTCGGATATGGTCTCCATGGAACAATTTGAAAACACCAGCTAACTGTATTAATGTGGACGGAGAACATTTCCTATCCGAGGATACAATGATGTCATGATTGTCATGGGAACATGGCGGGAAGGCTAAAAATTCACAGCAGACTCAATTTCAGCTTCAATGCACATGCTCAGATGTGCAATGGAACGTTTTTGCTGCCTCTGATCGGACTAGTGTGGACGCGAAACGGTTTCGGTGTGAAAATTTTGGATTCATATTTATCTGGCATAGTGTGGATGGGGCCATTTGAATTCATTGAATGAAGTATTCAATTACTATGTGGATATAATGTATTAAAATTGAAGCTTTGTTGAACTCTTGGAATTGACACTATATGAAATATTATTATTATTGTTATTATCAATTAATTAATCAATCAATTAATTAATTAATTGATAACCATAGTTTTGCTTTTCTCTTATCTCACCAGGAAAAGGGTAACACACCATTACACATAGCTACCAGCGCAGGACAAGCTTTACAGGTTGAATTGCTAGTAGTACATGGAGCAGATCCTACAATACTAGATGTTAATGGAAAAACACCCATGGATTATGCAATGTAGGTAGACTCTCTTACTTCTGATAGATTAAAATGTTTAGTTAAACAAAATAAAATGAAGCAGATCCTTAAGGTTTTCAAATCTGATTTCAATTCAAATCCTTTCACCTACCCATCCAGCCACCTATCTGCCCACCTTATTACCTACTCACCCATCCTTCCCTCCTTTCACCCAGCCACCTACGTACACATCCATCCTTCTTTCACTCACTGACTTATCTAGCCATCTGCTCACTGATCCTCCCAGTCATCCATCTACATACCAATCCAACCACCTTCCTGTACCAATCTATCATTTCAGCCAGCCAGCCACCCAGCTACCCACCAATCTATCCATCCATCCATCCACCTAATAAATCAATCATCGATCGATTCATCTATCCATTTATACATTTATCCATCAACCCACCCACTCATCAATCCATCCATCAACCCACCCAACCCTGTATCCCATCTACGCATCCACCCGTCAACCCACCCATCCCTGTATCCCATCTACCCATCCACCCATCAGCCCACCCATCCCTGTATCCCATCTACCCATCAGCCCACCCATCCCTGTATCCCATCTACCCATCAGCCCACCCATCCCTGTATCCCATCTACCCATCAACCCATCAGCCCACCCAACCATCCATCCATCCAATTTCCTTTTTTTTTAACTTTAACTATGTTACAAATTGAATGTAATGTTCAACAATTCTACAGTGAAGCAGGGAACAGAGATTTAGCACAGAGACTGTTTGAGATGCAGTATGAATTGACTGATAGGCTGTCTTTTTACTTATGTGGAAGAAAACCAGGTAAGAGCCTATTGAATTGATTTAATTATTAGATTATTATTATTATTATCATTATGTTGATGATGAGATGATGATGATGATAAGATGCGGATGATGATCAGATGATAATAATGATGATGATCACATGATGTTAGTGATGACGATGGAGATTGATATTGCTCAATAATTTGTGCTTTTTCTTAGATCATCCTACAGGTGTGAGATATCTCATCCCAACCATGGCAAATAGGTAAGAGATAGCCAGATAATCCTACCTAGTTAATATGGATGTACGCTGAATCTGATGGACTGCCATGCATAGTAACTGTGATATTCTCTCAACCATCAATTAGCCATTTCAAAGTCAAGGAAAAAACTGGATCCAGTTGCCATTGAGTGCATTGTGGAACCATTTGAGGGGACATATTTCCAAGATGGTGTCATCAGCCATTCTGAGGTTGAGGAAAACTTGAGTTACCATTGTATTGCATGATGGGACTGTCTAAGGGGACATAATTATTTCCAAGATGGTGTTTATTTCTTCTTGTAGAACAGTTCAACAATGCACTAGCTGCCAAGATGCCAAAGTTTTCAACCATTTTCTTCCCTCAACCTCAGAATAGATAAATACTAATAACTAAAAAGTTGTCCTAAATTTTGTTTTTCATGATTTTAGTTGTTTAGATTTATCACAAGATGCCCAAAAAGCAAAATTAAAGTTAAAAGCAGTAAGTTCTATAAAATTTCCTCTTTATACTGTTTTTTTTTAAGTACAAGTACTTTATCCCTTGACTGTCATGCTGAAAAGTAAAGTAGTATTAAATACTTAGATACAATATAAGTGGCCTTTGGCTCGAGATACCCCAAACAACATTTTTACAAATATTGTGTAGTTTTAGAAATTATCCATATGCCTACCATGGAGGAAATCGGAAATTCCCTGGGAGGGGGTTAAAGGAAATACAAAATTAGAAGGTTTGTATGGAAGAAAATTGGATATTCCAGAGGGGTGGGGGGTTTCGAAGTTTCTCCATGGTGGTGTATGGACATTTTTTGAAGAACCACACATTGTATCTTACAGTGTAATTCAGATTTTGATCAATGCTGTTTTTCCTATTCAGTTAAGCAATCATTTGTTTGAAGAGCTTGCTGCTGATGTGTACGACGAAGTAGACAGAAGGGAATGTGATGCAAGTAAGTCTCAGTCTTGACATTTCCAGGAGATCGCGCGCACACACTTCTTGTTACCATTAACCAATCAGAAGCATTTTTGTTGTATCGCCAAAAGTTCCATGATGGCTTCACAATGGAGTCATTATGCACAGTGTATTTTCAGTAAACATTCATGCTTTCTTATTGTGTTTATATTAATTTTATCGTTATTTTTATCATTATTATTTATAGATTTATTTTTTTATTTAATTCATTCCAGTATGGCTGGCTAATCAGAACCATAGTGCTCTTGTTAATGATACAACCACTGTGCCATTTTTGCCTGTTAATCCTGCCTTTACATCAACAAGAAATCAGGTGAGAAATTAAAAAAAGACCCAAAGAAGATTTTTTTGAATAAAATGGGAAATTTTGGTTAATTGTGTGAAAACTGTTATTAAATAAATATACTTGTACAGAAGTTAATAATTAATTAAATAATAATAAATAATGGGATTAACAGTGGATTGGCTCTTCTTCCGCTGGATTCCAATTAAAATTTGGAAGTTGATTTTTACGGAGGGAGGACAACCGGGGAACCTGGAAAACCCTTGAAGCACAGGAGAGAACCAAAAAACAACTCACATATGACACTGAGACGGGCAGGGCTCGAACCTGGGTTGCATTGGTGAGAGGCGAGCACTCTCACGGCTGTGCCACCCATGCTTCCCTTCGAAGTCTGTGTAAATGAACAAAAAAAAAAAGAATATCCAAACACTGTACTGTGTTTTTACTTACAGCACATTGAATGTTTATTAATTTTTACATTGAATATTTTAATTGAATTAGGAAATGTGGAGAACCCAGAGACAAACCCTTGTGGGTTTAGCTATTGCTCAGTTACCCAAGGATTATCCGATCTCTGACCCTTGGAGAAAACCCTGCTACCTGGCTGATAATATGTTTATCTTGTTTAACTTCAGGGAAGACAAAAGCTAGCCTTGTTCAATGCACAAGAACTTGCAACTCTTATCTTGGATATTTTAAATGATGCCAGAAGAAGGGAACAAGATTCCAATCCTGACCTTGGTCCAGGTACAGTGTAGATATAACGAAAGCTTTGCATTATTTGCACACTTCATCAAGAAAAACATCAGAAAAATGTAATTCAATAGATTCAAAAAAAGATTTTAAGTTATACGTTAAAATGCGGAGCTCACAAACTGATGACTCTTAAAACTCCAGTGTATGCGGGCTTAAACTCATTGCTCAGGATGGTAAACAAAAGAGGAAATTAGAATAACGAAACAAGCAACTCCTGGATTCAAGGCATCAATAATACAATGGGTTTGCGGTACTTGCAGAAGGACCTAAAATATATAAAAGATCTAAATTATGTTTTCTCAAGCTAATTTCTCTCCAGGAAAAAAATTCAGAGCTCCAGATGGAGAAACATTGACACATAAGAGTTAAAAAAATAATTTACCAAGAACAAAAAACACATACTTAATAATGCATAATATATTATTCTTATCACAATATTTGGTGTTTGTTTTGGGCAGGTAGTGTAATGGACTCTGGCATGTTTCCAATAGAGGAAGACAAGCGTATGTCACATGATTATGATGAGGTTGCTTCAGATGATGAGCTGGAGAATACTACACAAAAGGTTCAGTATTTAGACTTCAACTCTTACCGACCCCACCGGCATTATCATTGTCCATGTTAAGAGCACCAGGACTTTTTCCTTTTGAGAAATGAAATGAAAAAGTGTTTGCCTGCCTATCAGCCTTGCTGAAGGGTAGTTAAACTACCATACCTCCTTTGATAAGTAAAATTTATGAATATAATGACTTTACAACTTTCAAATAAAATAAAACATCCTCAGAGCTGATAAAAGTCAAGGCAAAACTATCTCTGAAGTGTGAATAAGTGCAATAAGGTTATGCCACTTGATTCCTTAGTACTAAGGTTATGAAGAGCTGAGCATTTAATAATAATAATRATGATGATGATAACTTTATTAACGTCTAATTTGGTCTTTTGTACAGGAACCAATGTTGAGATCAACCAAAGGCTCCACAGAAAAGGTTTGGATTTTTTCTTTTTTTCATTTGCTCATTAGAAGCAGCTCATTACCTGATGACTATTCYGATCCTTCATGCATTAAAGCTTTCGTCCATCCATCCGTCTATTCATTGATAAACTTTTTTCTCATTTTCTCATTACTAAATAGCTATCCAGATTGTTATATTCATTTCTTCATTCATCAAATCTTTCACCCATCTATCTATTCATTGATAAACTTTTTTCTCATTTTCTCATTACTAAATAGCTATCCAGATTGTTATATTCATTCATCAAATCTTTCATCCATCCATCTATTCATTGATAAACTTTTTTCTCATTTTCTCATTACTGAATAACTACCCCAATTCTTAAAATTATTCATTTCTTCATTCATCAAATCTTTTATCCATCTATCCTTCCTTTTCGTAAGATATGACTAATTCTGTTTAATTCTCTTTCTAGAGTACTTCTACAAGTTTTGTTTTAGAAGATACAATACCTACGGAGAATTATTTAGAATTAAAGTGTGCATTAGCGTCTGCAGAGGTAAGAATTTTGTAATCAGCATAAAATAATAGTAGCACTATATGTACAGGGTATGGTGTCCCTTAACACTAAACAGACCTTTCTAGCTTGGGCGTAAATGTTCTCCATTTCAAACCATGTGTCATTCCCCAGAGTATCATTTCTTTGTTTAATAGTTGCACAACACATAAATATGAATACAACTCAAACGAAGAAAAGTAATCTTATTCTTTAGTGAATGACATGTGGTATATAATATAGTGTCGTAAGCATGCCGTTCCGTGACCCTGATCTCTTCTAGAATATTATTTGGCTGATTTTTTTCGCATGCAATGTGATTGGCCTGTCAGTGCTGTGACTTTGGTGTGACCGTGTCCCAGGTATTTGATTGGGTGAAGTAAATTCTTGAGCAATGTGATTGATCTGGCGTATCCCTTGTCATGGCACGACCGTGTGCATGCTGTGAGCTTTTCACAGTCATATGAAAACTGCTTTAGTTAATACCGTGATATAGGATGTGGATGACCACAGAATGACTAGAGCTCATTTGCCATGATATGATGGCACTTTCTAATTATTTGCAAACCTGTCTAAAGCCTGTTGTGTTTGCATTACTGCAGGCAAGAATACAACAGTTGTTACAAGTTAATGCATCAATGAACCAAGGAATACAAGAACTTCAATCAGTGGTAATTATTATTTTATATCAACTATTTGTTCAGGGAGAGGGGCAGATTTTATTATTATTCTAGGGGCAAGGTTCATGGTTATTATGAAAAGCATTTTCCACTGTTACTTAAAATAGATGTCGCAAAGCCTTGTGGGATTGATTTGCAGACAAAACTTGTAAACAAACGCTTCAGTTACAAGAAAAATTAGATCAATATCATACAGTTGTAAAACCGGATAGTTTTTCCACATATTGAAAACAACAAGATAACAAAAAACCGTTGCAACCTGTTAGCATGTGCGCCATTGGCTGATCCAGGGGGGTCGAAGGGGTCCACGGAACCCCCCTTGAAGGTTTGATCTTTTAGGTAATAGAAATATGTCTTATATAAATTTTGCTTAAAAGTATCCACAAAGATAATGTTGAACACGAAATGATAGATATTTGCTTTTATAATGTTTAATTTACCTTTAAGTTCCGTCACTAGATAGTAAATTAGGTGATTAGAACCAATTTTTTTGTCAAACATCGACTGAACAAAAGAGAATTATACACAGTTTAAGAAACGGAACCCCCCTTTGAAAAATCCTGGATCTGACACTGTGCACTTAGCTTGGCTTGTCCGCATTTCAACCCCATGATGCGCAATTGTATTAGGCAAGGCTAGCAGCTTGATCACTACAATGCAGTGCTACCAAAAAGTTTTAACAGTGTTATTGGTCATTTCAGGTACAACGACTGAGAATTGACAAATATAATCTTCAAAAACAATTAGGAATAGAAGAGGAACAAATGTCAGATTCAGTGTTTTCATTTGAAAATGGTCCCCATGAATACATGAATGCTGAAATGCTTAGAATGAACAACATGGCTGCTGGAGATGATGAAGACGATGATGATCATGTTGATATTGATGAAATCACTCCATATGCAAGTCCAGGAGAGCTACTAAAGAATAGGGCTAAACAGAATCAGAGCGCCTTAGGTACAAGCCAGATGTATGGTGAGATAAAGAAGAAAAAGGTCAATCCTTACGATAATGTACCAGATGAGGAGGAACCTGATAGGGGTGAAGATGAAAAGGCGTATAAAAATGGTGAGAAAGATAATCTTGCCACTTGCTATTTGATCATTTGTTTGCATGATTTTTTAATTAAAACTTGAAATCTTTTAATATACACCCAGGGCTTGCAATGGCTGGTCAGTTGTCGGCCCTGATGACCAGGAAAATTAGGTTTTGCTCAGTTATATTTCATTTCTGTGGCTTAACATTACTGGGCAAAATGACTGGCAAGGCCCAAAGATTTGACCGGACAAGTTACAATATTATTGTGGCCAGACATTGTCCGATGATCAGTCGTTATCTTAAGCCCAGACACTCTGCATATTCACTCATTGTTTTCCTTGTCATGTAGTTGTGTTGTTGTTGTTGTCCTTTTTTGTGGTACTTGTAGTGTAATCTTAATTTAATTTGTTTCTTACAATTTTGACTAATGAGTGAACTCTGTTCTATTTCCTTCCCAATAACAGGACTGTCTGACCAACAAATCGACGAAGAAGCCGAACGAGTTCTGAGTGAGGCAGAAGGAATAGTTCAAGCTGCCGCCAGGGAATTTGAACCCTCCCAAGAAGATGTGGTGAGATGTACCGAACAAATCACCAAGAAAATCCAAGAACTCTTATTAGCAGCTCAAGCAGGGAAACATAGCTGGTTAGTGAGAATTTCTTTTACGAAAATGAAAAAGCTCCATGTGGGATTGAGGTTTTTGATAATTTCAAGGACACAGTTGAGAATACTAACAATGAATCACTCTGTTGTTTATTCTTAGTTTTATTCCTTGCTCGAATAAAATAAACTCTGCTGTGAATGACATGGCCTCGTTATTTCCAGAGGTAAGCTTGTAAGATTATTATGAGAAATAACACAAATGGGACAGTCTGGATAGTGTGTACTGAATATTTAGATAGTATATACCAATTTGTGTACAGAGTAACTTATTTTTATATACAATAATTCAATAAAAACAAACAAACAGAAACTTGCAGTCTGCATGACAAATTCACACAAAACTTTTAGCAAAACTTTTAGGCCATACTTCATTGCATTTTTAGTATTGATAGGAATGGCATTAACTTTCATTTTTTCAATTTCCTATGGCAAATTTCCTATTTTGTTGCGGACTCAATATTCCGAGATTCAGAGGTGAATATCRTACAATATTCACCTACAATTAACCAATGAGCATGCGCGTTCTTAGGAAGTACACAAGTTGGTATATGCTAATTCCTCATATGTCTCAAATACATGTATATTCTAATACAGTATATACATATTCTAGCCCCTTCGCCTGCTCCATCCTAACTGTCCTTAATACTAAAATTTATCAACCATGTTATTTTTGCCTGTCAGAATCCAGATGCTGATGCTGTAAGGGTTTCGTTACAATTAATGGCCAACAGTGCATCGCGATTGTCTGTGGAATGCAAAAGTGCAGTCCTTCCTGGAAACACCGTAGACATGGCATTCCTTACACAACAAGTTATCCAGTGTGCATATGACATAGCCAAGGCTGCCAAACAACTCGTAACTACATTCTCTGTTGAGTAAACATGGCTTTGGTATTACGTAGTTCTGGAGAACCTGAATAATTGATAGATCCAAAGAGTTGTTGAGTACAACTAGACACATGAGTGTTTCCCATTTGCACACAGAATTCGAATTTCCTGAATACTTTTACATGACATATCTGACTGGAAGCAAAATAAGATAAGTAATCAACCTTGCCATGGTTTAGTTGTTGAATGTTTACTCGTCTAGTTCTGTCTTTCCACAACATCATTATAACCATTTGAACTTTGAAAAGGTGAATAACTTGCGCATGAAGTTAACCCATTTCAAACCATATGTATATTAATCTAGGCTTGATTTCATAAGTCTTCTGATCTCCATTAATCAAGGGTAAAGGTAATAGGAGATATTGCTGGTTTTCAATCATTCCCAAGAGAATGTAAATACAAAAGACACGCTGGCCATGTTGGATGATATAACACAAGAGACTAATGACGAATCTTTTGTTAACTTCATCCAACATGGCGGACGTGATAACCATCAATTGCTTATCTATTATCAAGATAAGGGAGATATCTCAACTAAACACGGATTATATTAGTAACCAAAAAGGATTTATAGAACATTTATCACAAACCCATTTATCTTACTTCGACTAGTCTTAACATGTCTAGTCTTAGGAAGTCCATGTGGGAAAAATTCGTTGAAGCAGCTCTAGAAGTAACTCACACGTATGATGGATGCTTGATTCTAGTATTCCATTGTTTGTCAATGCTTCTTATGAACTAGAGTCTGTTTTTTTAATCATTAGGATATCTATAGATGTTATATTATAAACAAAGTATACATAAAAACAGTAAACATAGAGCTAAACAAAGATATTTAGGATTATTTTGAGTATCATGATATTATGATCTAACAAATAGATACTGCAAAATCACATGACAAATGATCATGAGGAGCGTGGCTTTTTATCTGAACCCTATTTGAATTATTGTTCTTTGGTAACCCTGTGAACACAGTGGACAACCAATAATGTACACACAGTTGGCATGCATGATGCAGTACGTCGGAACGCAGCTCAATAGACCTCTTTAGCTTCGTTGTTCGTTGTGCACATTTCAGTTCACGAGATGCCTTGGTCCGAGTTGATTCTTTCATGTGTAAATACTTTAGTATGTTTGTCATAAAAGAACAATTCTCAAGGGAATGTCATGTGATCTGAAATGGGAAATTTGCATACAAAGCTAAAGAGGTCTATTTGGAAGGCAGAACAATAGGTTTCCAATTCTTAGGAGATTATTTTCTTTTGTCCAGCAAATTGAGCTCCTTTGATGTCACATGCAAGGGGTCTATTATCAGAAGTGGATCTAGAGGGTAGGTTCACTGGGTACCTGTGCACCTCCCTGTTACCCAGAAACTCTTTTACTTCCATACTACTAAAAAGGTTCAAAAGCACAACATGAAAACAGGAAATTTTGAAAATAGTGTTATATATTATAAAGTTTTAAACACTAGGGCAAGGTTTTGAATCGTAATGCAAAACTGAGCCCATGCATTTGAACTGGTTTAAAATATCAACTAAGCCCTAAATTCCATTGTTTCGATGCAAAACATGAAATACTAAATTATATTGAATTCAGAGAGGTAGATTACTGTTGCTTTGTTCTTTTGGAAATAGAGTGCTTACAATATATCCATGTAATTAAAAACTTATCCTGGGTTTATATTTTGGCCCCGTTCTCCCCTGTTGATATCAGTTCCGCCCCCGGCTTTAAGAATCTGGGTTTTCCAAAGAATTAAGAACCTACATCAAACAATGGATTTAGGGTGTGGTTGATTTTTAAAGTGTTGTCACAGTGAGGGACTGCATGGCGTGACAACACTGAAACAGGATGTAAAAGAGACCAGAACCTTTTAAAAGACTTTGGTTGATTCTGAGTTGAACCCCTATAATTCTTAATCGTAGATCCACCCCTGTGTATTCTTTATACAATATATATATAAATATTTTTTTCATTCTTTAATTCTTTGAGTATACATCGATTAAAATTGTTTCTTGAGGAAACATTTCCATCATACTGATGCTTATTTTTGTTTTTGGCTTGCAATGCTGAATTTCTTTCTTTGTAATTTCAATTTCATTGATGGGTATCATTGATGGGTAAAAGAGGTCTGGTTTTTAAAAATGGGTGGTCCTTTTTTTTTACTTTTGTAATTTTTTTATTATTTATAATGTAACTAATATTTTTTATGAGAGGGAAAAAAATGGCTCTTAAGGTAAAAGGTGGTGCGGTTAAGACCGGAACAACCATACTATGACCCTGGTGTTAGATATCTACTGCGTAGCCTACAATAAACTTTTTTGTGTGAGTGGGTTGGGCTTCCTCTGGCGATTGTAATCGCTTCCTGCTGAGTCATTTTTGCTCCAAATTCACAGATTTTCGAATATTCTTCAAAAGTAGGCTTGCTGTGGCGATTTTAATGGCTTTCTACTGAGCTAGATGTTTGCTCCAATTCATAGATTGCTCGTATATATTCTCCAAAAGTAGAATGAAAATAAAGATTTTTTTCCTTATGAACACTACTGGCGAATTTGTGTTTGATCTAGATTACATGGACGGCTGCGTACGTGGCTACGTACCTGGTTGGGATTCTTCTGGCGATTTAACTGATTGGGCGTCCTGTGGCGATTTCAAGGCAAGTAGCCAAGTAGCCATTGATAATAAGGTAGGCTGTATGGCTACGTGGCTACGTACTAGTTGGAATTCCTGTGGCGATTTATCTCTACCACCCCTAGCCATCCTTGGCCTGCCCACCTTGCCCCCCTTGCCCCTGGCACTCCCTGGCCCTCCTGGCTCCTTTGGCCCCCCTGGCCCTCCTGGCCCCCTGGCCCCCCTGGCCCTCTTGTGGCCCACTTTTAATTGTGAATACAGATTCTTGATTACAGCTTCCGTGGTTGCTACCGCATTTCACTAAGAAACTCATAATTTGACATATTTGGAAAGCATCTAACGAAAAAACGAGAATGTCGACCCCATCTTTTTAATGCAGTTTATAAATGTCCATAGTATAATAAATGTCCATGCAAAGTTTCAGGACAAAGTTATTGGCAAAATTTCTTTCACGGGGATTATCTAAGAGCGACCTTAATATTTGTTTATAGCGCCCAGTCCTCTCGGTCCTACTCACACCCTGTCCGGTCAGCGGTAGTTCCCAAAAAATAACACTAATACAGCAAAAAAAATGGCGACGGTGGGAAAAGATGTGTTGGTCGCTCCACCGTCGCAAATCACCTGTGATCAAATCCTCTCTGAGTATCCTTTTCACTGGTTCGTATGGAACAAAGACGCTTCATCCATCGAAGAAGAACTCGCTTTAGCCAGGGTGAGAAGTTGTGCTTATTATCCCGATATAAAAGAGAAGTCGAAAAGTTGTCACTCCCAGTGTCCACGCATTTGATCGATTGCTCTCTCAGCTGTAAGAATATAATAACATTTTTCTCTAGTTTCTCCCTTATTATCTTTCATGATCTTCACCGAATACAGAACGACAAGGAAAAGACAGATACCAGAGGCAGAACAGCCATTCATTTAGCGGTTTCATTGGGTTACGTTGACTGTGTGAAGGCTCTTCTCCATGGAGGATGTGATGCTAATGCTATCAACAAGGATGGATGGAATGGTATTCTTTATGTATATAGTATTTCTATCCTATTTATAAATATCTGTCCTTAGACTTATGGAGTATGAAAGAAATACGAACTGAAATGAAGCAAAGAAATTCAATGTTCAGTCTGAATCCGTCTCATTACATCATCGTTTGGTATGTTAAGTATTTTTCAGATCACACACGAAAATACTTTTAGTTTCATTCTGAAAAAAATTGCTTGCTAGATTAGAACGTTGTACTTTTTCATATGACATTTGTAATTCTTGCATCTGATTGAAGTAAAGCTGAAATTGCTTGCTTGGCCATGGTGGCTAAAAGAAATTTTCTATTAATATATTACATTATATTATTTATTTATATTTATCATATAATTACCAATGAAATATCTATTTTTCTCTATTTCGGAAAATTGATAGCTTCACATGTGAAAATAACATGTTATTTTCACGTGTGAAAATAACACCATTGCGATGGCTATTCAAAAATACATGAATTGCCTGAAAAAGCCAAAACATACTTCATTGATAATCATATAATAAACAGAATATTACATGGCCGCTTGGAGATATGAATTTTATCTTCTCGTGTTGAAAATATCTAGATTTATAGATCTTTTCAACACTCGAAAGTAAAATTCGTATCTCCGTGCGCCCATGTAATATCCTCTATATATATTTATATTTATACATGTATTTATATTTTTCTATTTTTATTTATTTGTTACAATTTGATAAATGAGTGTTTTGTTAATAATGTTTTTTAATGCATTTTTAGTATTGCAAGAGGCAATCAGTACAGGTAATCCAGAAATTACCTCACTAGTTTTACAGCACAGAGATTTTCAAAGAGGAAATCAAAGGCTGGCTGGCATCCCAGAACTACTGGAAGATCTGAAAGCTGTAAGAATTTGTCGTCGTCAATGCCTGGCATAATCAATTGAATGAAATCAAACAATTACATCCAATCGAATCAAATGATTGGATTCGATTACATTAGGCGATTTAATGAAATTGAATATAAAAAAATTGGAGTCATTCAAGTGCAATCAAACATTCGATTACCTTAGATTGTGCATTCAATTACATTTGATTGAAATTGAATGCAATCAAATTCACTGTTTTTTTAGCATTCAATTCTCCAATCAATCAATCAATCAATCTTTATTGTGCTCAATAGTTTACAGATATAAATAATAATAGTTTACTCTGATGTAATGTTTTCCCATTTCAGACCACGTGTCATTCCCTAGAGTATCATTTCTTTGTTTAAAGTTTGCGCTCGGCTGCACATGAGAAGACACATGAATATRGATACAACTCAAACAAAGAATCTTATTCTCAAGGGAATGACACGTGGTCTGAAATGGGACAACATTACGCTCGAGCGCTCCAGAGCCGAGGAGGTCTATTGCTGAATGCAATCCAATCCATTCATATGATTGGTTCCATTAAATTTGATTTCTGAATCATTGAATTGATAACGCCAGGTCAATAACCTAGCAATTTCTTCCACTTATTTTCTCCATTTCATTATAATATTTTCAAATTTTCAAATTCTAAGGCACCTGATTTTTATGTGGAAATGAAGTGGGAGTTCACCAGTTGGGGTAAGTTCAATGTCTTATTTTATTTAAATTCTTGGCAAGAGGGTTTTAGAGTTGCTGTTTTCATATAACTGTGAAAAGCTCGGTACCATTCACCATTTTCCATAAATTGGTTCACTGGTCAAACACAAAGCATTCAGTTGAGGTTGCAAGGCTCAAATTTGAATAATCCTTTGAAAGTACCTTGGCACCTCGCTTGTGCGCTTTGTGTTTGACCAGTGAACCGATGTATTGAAAATGGTGAACATGTTTGCCATGCCATGACCATAATGTTTTCATGAATTTTGATTGGCTGAATTTTTCATATCGGCATGACCATGTAGACCCTGTGCCTTGTTTAATAATATGCCCTGTTTCAGGTAATTGATTGGATGGAGAGTAAATTCTTGTGCAGTGTGATTGGTCTGGTATATATATACCTTATGGTGACCCATGACCTCATTTGTGTCATGAGCGTTCCAAAGTCATACAAAAACTGCTCTAGTACATTTTGCTTATTCATGAATGTTTGATTTTTCATGGTTATAGTGCCATTCATGTCAAGAATGTGTCCAAGTGACACTTACAAGATATACAAAAGCGGTAAGTTGATAAATGTACCTAGACCAAAATACTCCATATACTAAACTGTAAAAACAAAAAAACTTATAGTACAGCCATACCACAGCCAATTACCACAGTTAATTAGACAATGGAGTACTGTAAGGATGGCTTGGTGGTAAGATGCTTGACTTGTAACTTTTTCAAACCTTAACTCTTTCATTGACAACTTTTTCAAAGGTTCATTAAACTATTTATCTCGCCTCTCCACTTTCAAGTCCCCCCGATACCTTCTATTCATGAATCCTTACCTGATAGACCTTATTCTTCTTGGTATGATGTTTTCCCATTTCAGACCTCAAGTCATTCCCTAGAGTATCATTTCTTTGTTTAACAGTTGTACATGAGAAGACACATGAATATGGATCCTAAACAAAGAATCTTATTCTCGAGAAAATGACACGTGGTCAGAAATGGGAAAATATTACACCAAGACGAATTAGGTCTATAGATTGATCATGGTTAGAACTATTTATTAATTACGTTCTTACTATCGTTATTGTGTAGGAGCTGCTGTGAGGGTGGACACTACACTCTTGGGTTTTGATCAAAATGATTGGCAGAGAGGAAACAGAACATATGTGTTCAAGGGGGAAGGTTAGTGAGACAGTCAATCAAAAGATAAAGTCATGAATTCTTTTGGAGATGGCTTTCAAATCATTATATTATACATGTCTTAAGGTGCAGATTTGCAATTTTTCATGTAATGTCCCAAAAATTAGAGATCACGCTTTGTGCCCACCTGTGAAACGCTGCATGCAATGTCGCTGATGATGTTGCAAAAATAAAAAAAGGAAAAGAGTTATACTTTTCTACTTGCGACGAATCTCATCATGTGTGGACAAAATCACATGGGTGGTCACACTGTGTGATCTCTGAAGAATCTCATTCTGTGTCCTAACCTTTAAAGTTTTATAGGACCGTTTTCATGTTATTAATACTTTATAAACCAACTACATCTTTTATCGTACAGAAAATGGAGGGGTATTTCTTGAAATTGACCATGACAGAGGTAGAGTCTGGAAAGAGACACTTAGTATAAGGTAATCCCTGATATCATTTTCAAACTTGACATGATAAATGTATTGTTCTGGAGGTTTTTCTGAAGATGATACATTTGTCATGACAAGTTCGCTGACGGTCACAGTGGAAATTGAAAAGTTTTTTATGCATTTTGTAAAATAATTATCATCATCATTCAAAAGATTATTATTTATTTTGTGTAGATTAACATGCAACATGATATGATCAAATGCTAAATACAATAATAGTAATAATAATAATAAATTAATAATATCATCATCATCATTATCATCATCATAATTATTATAATTATGATTATTATTGAATATAGATTTCTTGTCCACTGTAAACTTATAAATAATATATAATATATTTATCTGGATTACTAGAATCTATAAATGATTATATTTTTCAGGGATGATGTTCGTGATGTATCATCCACTAAGGTATCTGAAGATGTTTTGAACCAAAGAATGTCTGCACCTATTGTTACAACTTATCTGGACACAGATAATATAGCTTTTACCAGGTAATATCATTTTGAAAAAGAAAATTCTTAGAGAAAATAGAGACAATGAGATTAATTAATAACGAAAATATTCAACTAAACACCTGCGCAAATTTTGAACCTTGGAAAGCAATATTGAAAAAGATATTCAAGAACACCAAATGCTGATGAAGACTAACAAAGTATGATCAAAACGTTTATCCAAAAGAACATTTACAGAGTATATTCCCAAAGAAATGAGTAAACCAAATGATAACTCCTGCAAAAACAAAGTTCCAGACATACAATATCGAGACAAAATATTGTTTTTTTTGACGACCTCCTTTATCATTCTAATAATAAATTTTGTTGAGAATAAAGAAATAAGGTCGTCGAAACATCCAATATTTTTGTCTCTGATTTTTTCTTTAAGAATAATTTTAATTCTAATTTATTATTTTGATGTGCAACAATATATGTGAGGCACAATCAAGCAGCTTACACAGCGTTCAACCTTACAGGCAAAATGAATCTATCTCCAGTTTATTTTTAAAGACCAGTATTTTTATGTTTTCAGGCACAAGACGATGTGGGGTTGGGGAGGAGATAAAACAGAGACAATAGATAATTTGGAATGTAAAGTATATACGGGAAGTGGAGTAGAAGTGGTAACCAAAACAAGAGTGGAACATTTGGCTGAAGATGACAAAAAGAATGTTGAAAGTATGCTACAAAAACATTTGAAACATTACCTACATATATCATGTTTTATACGCAGTACAGGATTTTCATTAAGTTTTGAAATAACTGGAGAAGATCATGAACTACCGGAAAGTCCTTGTGACCAAGTGAGCACATTTCATAAAATATTAGTATTAGTTACCGAAGTGATTGATTCTCTGATCCCGGAAACTTGACAAAAACCCTGTGCAGTATCTGATGATTTGTTACCTACTTCTGAATATTACATTTATTTATTTATTACTGAATACTTGCTTGCAGCATTCCCAGTACCCCAAGGAATTGCAGGCAGTGGCTTACATACTTTGCTTGGCATAGAAGATGAAACCACCAACCCCCTTGAGGTAAAGGATTCTTGATATTATTACTTATTTTTATTCTTATTTTCAAAATATATGAAAACAAATACTTTTTGAGCTTATTTGATTCATTGATATTTATTCATGTGTTCAAACTTCTAGCCATGTGTGTTTGAATAGACCTAATCCACTGTTTTCCCATTACAGACCATCCCTTAGAGTATTAGATAGATACAAGATACAAGATATTTTATTGCCTCTATGTAAATAAATTTACATCGGAGTTATATGCAATAAATTGAATTATAGTTGTAAATATTATTTCTTTATTTAATGGTTGCACATGAGAAGACACATGAATATGGGTACAAATCAAACAAAGAATCTGAGTCTCAAGAGAATGACACGTGGTCTGAAATG